ATCTTGAGGGTGTGAGTGTGAGTATAGATGCAATTATTCTCTTAACTTACACTCACCCTAACCCCCATACCCATACCCACACCCACACTAAGTTAAAAGAATATCAGTTTAATGATAAAAAAAGTTCAAAAGGTTCTTAATGGTTTAAAAGAAAATACAAATATGTCTTTTGTTTATCAAGACGAAATTTTATATAAATTAGCATCTATTCCATATGGAAAGACTAAACGTAAATTATTTTATATTTCATCAACTATGATCAAATATTTACTTATTTCTTATCATAATAATTCTCTTATTGGTGGATATTTTGCAATTCGACGAACATCAGAAAAACTGAAACAACAGTTTTGGTGGCCCGATAGACCACTATTACTTCCAGATAACTAATTTTATTTATAATAATTTCAAGCATTTAATGACGCATCATTTGAAACTATTTATTAGTGAATTATTTTATTTTGTGTTAAATTATGGTTATGTTTAATTATCATCACTCATAAGAATCTTCTTGCTGGACAAGTTAAACTTATGTATTTTATGGATTTGGAGAATGAATATTCGTTAGTTATGGCCAAACTGATATTTATTTATATTCCTAATGTTATTTACTACATTTTAAAATGATTATACTGATTATACAATTTCATTTGACTTTAATGTTATTATTTTTGATATTTGATTGATATTACTTCAGATGTTTTTATATACAGATATAGTTGATTATTCTATTGAAATTTATGGTTTATATATCTCTTCACATTATTACTATGTTTCACATGATAAATGTTATTGATATAATGTTATTAGTTGATTATCTATTCGCTTCACATGTGTCTTTTCTTTAAAAAAAAGAAGTTATTCCAACTTATACTTGGTGATATATCGCAAACAAATCAACCGATCTTTTTTTCTTTTTTCTCATTTTGACAACGCTTTTTTCTCTCACTATATTATTTGATAACTTTCTCATTTCTTTTGTTAATTATTTTCACATCCTTCATCAAGTTTAAAAGAAAAAAAATGAAAGATGTAACATCCTTTTTTTTACTTAAGCGGGGGGAGTGTTATGATCTATGCTATACATAGCATCATATATATCTTCTTTTTCGTTCTTTCCTTTCCTCTCTATGATTCACCTTTTCTTTTCTATTTTTTCCTATAGTGTACACACATATATATTCAGTTGTTTGTTTATGTTTTTCTTCGATTCAACAATAAACAACATTCGATAGAGGACCAGTACATCTAACAGTATAAATAGCTCTAGTTTTTCGTCATTCATGTATAAAATTATAAAGCTCCAACCAACATGTCTAATCAAGTACAAACACAACAAGCTACCACCTCAAAACCAAATTG